GTTGGGTGGGCTTTAAGGTCCCTCCAGCCCAACCCAGTCTGGGATTCTGTGATTTCCCGTCCGGGTGTGGGTGACGCGCGGCTGTTCTCTGCCCCTCCGCAGGCTCCCCACTGCGAGCACGCCTTCTGCAATGCCTGCATCACCCAGTGGTTCTCCCAGCAGCAGACGTGCCCCGTGGACCGCAGCGTCGTGACGGTCGCCCACCTCCGCCCGGTCCCACGGATCATGCGGAATATGCTCTCGAAGCTGCAGATCACTTGCGACAACGCTGTTTTCGGCTGTACGGCCGTCGTGCGACTAGACAACCTCATGTCTCACCTCAACGACTGCGAGCACAATCCCAAGCGCCCCGCGCGGATGCGGGTGAGGATGACCTCGGGGCTGGGGGGGCTCAGACATAGAGTTGAGGGGGCAGAGCAGGGGCCACAGCCTTGGGGAAGGACCCCCGGGGTCAATGCCTGGCACCCTTTTGCCCCCTGGGCACGGAGCTCCGGGGTAGCAGCAGTTTTGGTGCTGCAGGAGGGCTTGGGAAGGGTTTTTAGTCAAACCCGTTTCTCAAAGCCTCTGGCTTGTTGCTGTGGTTTAGGTGTCACTTGGCTGCTGGAAACGGGGTACTGGAGCCTCTGTGTGGCCATTCCAGCCCCATGGGACAAATTCCAGCGTGAGCTCTGCTTCTTCCTACATGTCTCCGAAAGCTGGGAGTGGCGGGTGGCTGGTCTGTCCTTGGCACCCGCGCTCTCGGTGCCGGTCCCCATCCCACTCGGGTGTTGTAAGCGCTCCAGCTCTTGGCTTGGAGACTGTCAGATCTCCCCGGATGAAGTCAGAGGATCAGGCCCGTGGGCTGCCCTGTGTGGGCTGGTTCTGAGCCCCGATTGTTTTGGAGGAGGAAAATCCCGAGCCCCGATTGCTTTGGAGGAGGAAAATTCCGAGCCACAATTGCTTTGGCAGAGGAAAAATCCCTGTTGCCTGCTGACCTGGGGGTGCTTTATTCCATAGCTCTCCCCCCAGACCCTCGGCTCGGCCCGGTGCCACGCACCTACGGCGGGGTACGGCTTCCCAGGCCTCTCGGCAAATCCAAGGCTGGATTTGTCCTGGAGATGGTTTAGTGCTGATGCCAAGTGCTCCGTTGTGTAACATTCCCTAACGCTGGGGCCTCCACCTTTTCTTGTCACGCTCCCCAGCTTGGAAATGCCCAAAGATGAGCTGCCAAACCACAACTGCATCAAGCACTTGAGATCGGTGGTGCAGCAGCAGCAGACGAGAATTGCCGAGCTGGAGAAGACCTCAGCAGAGCACAAGCATCAACTGGCCGAGCAGGTGGGTCTGGGGGCTGTTGGGCAGCGAGGTCTCGTGGTGGGGAGGGTCGCTCACAGGGTCACTGAGGTTGGGAAAGATCTACGGGATCACCCGGTCCAAC